GTTGAACATTGCTTCAAAGTGAACAAAAATGAGTTTCAGCTTTAGCACTGAAAATCTTGGCGTATTCTTTTGAACTTGCACTATTCAGTGCAACCTATGGAACTCGTCCAGTGTTGGTGTGAACTGAGTGCGCACCAGTGCGCACTAACTTTTGCCCAATCGAAAACGCTATAACTGTGATAAAACGTGCACTGAACTGGCACCGTCAAAATATCTCGTGCCACTTAGTGCGCACTACGCGAGTGTCGCGCGATCAAATGAACACGTGACACTAGCCAAGTGCGCATTGGCACTGCCAATCGAACACGCTCTTGACACTGAGTGCAGCCAGTGCACCCCAATCGAAAACGCTATCAGTATCACTATCGCGATATTGGCTATACGAAGTGTTAGTAGCGTTTGCATTGGTATGTATCGTTTTATCCTTATTGTTTACTCAATATTAAATAAGGATAAAGTGATACATAGGAGCACCCGGATGATATTAGCGAACGTCTATTATGTTCTAAGGTCGAACGTCCGCATGAAAAGGCACCTTTACTTCGTGGTTCTACTCTCATAAGTTGGCAATTTTGTTTATATACACATGTGACGTGACTCCAATGCACTCCAATGTATGCGCAGTTTCATAGTGGAAGGATCCGTTGCATTATTTGGATATGACAGGTTTTGTAACCTCAATAGTGGCAAACTTCTACTGTTAATTCCCGTTTTGCGGGGCAGAGCGACACTTTTTTTTAGCTAGATTTGTTTGTTTCATGAAAACCACATCAATTTGTATGTTTTTTTATTAACTTTTGTGATTGTGATTGCTAAATTGAGGAATTACCTTTTTTCAAGCTGTTATCATGGGATCTAGATTAAGGCAAGTCTATTAGTACGTTTACACGGTTTCTTAACTTCGATTTAACTGAATCGTGAAATGTGAATCGTAGTCGTAAGTCGTAAGTGAACGTACAATGTTTTGATTAACTTATAACTATGACTTACATTTCACGACCCAGTTATAGTCATCTTTGTGCTTAGATTCATAGTAACGCTGTTATAACTCCTATTTAAGTGAGCCGCGTTTACACGCTTAGGTTTATTGTATTTCCACCAAGCCGAACGAAAGCATGTAAATGATTCAACGAGCAAAGTGAATTTTTAGGTTACATTTACGCGGCCCGATTTACGTAAGCATTATAATATCGTGGCCGTTTACACGTCGTTTTTACGTCGCTGTAGTAACTTAAAACTAATTCTACAATGAGTCGGTAGTCGGAAATCTTAATTTTTAACCAATCTTAACTTAATAGGTGACTGTGTGTGCCTTCTAACAAGAGATAGTGCGACAGAGTGATCATGTCATCTTTGTTTACCATTGACAAATAATAAAGATGTAATGATCTAGTGTGTCACACTGTCATTTGTGTTGCTTGTTGAATATACAGCAAGTCGTATAGCTCGACTGATGGGAAGGAATAAAATCTAATTTGATCAATCTTAAGACGGTAGTCTTATTAAGTCTGTTCTTTATTTCTGCACTGTCTGAACTGGTGCCCAGTATCAGAAAAATCAAAATTATGTATTCGGCAATGTCCACACGAATCCATTTCTATCCATTTTAATTCCCAAAAAATTGAAATAGATTTGTGTAGTCATTGTCAAATCAAAAATTCTGATTTTTCAGCTACTGCATAGGTATGGTGCAGCCAAATTCTAAGACTACCAATTACTGGCTATGTTCAGCAAAACGTTTATTTTGCAACTGTTGGAAGTTTTCTTTGCATATTGGATTATACTTTTAGATCTAAAGGAATGGTCCTGTCTCAGCAGACAATCATAAAACGGTTCCAAAACTGTTGTGTTCTGCTGAACGCAGTCACTGACTCATTGTAGATTTGGACTAAGATTTAGGACTACCAATTACCAACTTATTGTAGAATCAGCATAAACCTCTTCACCAAATGGCTTTGAGTAACTAGATCAATATAATAATTTTGTTGTAAAATAAAATTTACACAGCATTTAAGGAGCATTTCCCACACAATGGAGGAAATATTAGGAATAGGAATAAATATTAAGATTTTAACCTACCAGAAACCACGTATTCCGATGTAACTGGTATCTGACAGGTTGAAATCTTAATATTTATTTCTGTTCCTAATATTTGTTTTATTGTGCAGGGCCTTAACATCAGTAATAAACATCGGATGTTATAACTTCGGCATAAATCAGGCTGCATAAATATAATATATTTTTCCTTTGTATATGGAATCACTGATTCTGATGTAAAGTTGAGTCTACAATGAGCCTTTAGTCTGTAGTTAGTAAGTCAAAAACGAGTCCAAAGGATAATTGATGAATTAGGATTGGTCTAAATTGGTGTATCAGTGGTCTGCAGCCAACTCCTAAAACCTACCTGCTACTGATTCATTGTAGATCTCCACTAATGAATTCTTTTGAGCGAGATGTCATCAGGAACATGATTGCATATCTTGAAATGAGGTATAAATTACAAAATAAATAAATTTACTAGATGTTAACTAACGGCTGTGTTCAGATTCCCATCTGAGCGCCATTCAGGTATTATTTTATCTTTGTTGTTTCCCAAATATTAAATAAGGATAACATGATTCCTAGGAAGCATTCAGATGAGAGTTCCTAATAAAATTATAAATATTGTAAATTTACTCATTTTTGTAACTTTTATCTCATTTCAAGGTACATAATGGATTTCTAGAGCAGTTATTTTTATATTGCAGTCAGATGGTTTTGCAATAACAAAAGATTTCTGCTTTATTCAACAAAATCTATTTTATATCTTTATATTCTTGTAAAATTTGCTGTATGTTTGTAAAAGAAAAAAATATAAGAAAAAATAGAATTTAATATAAAAAAATATTAAAAAATATATTTTATGATTATTGTCATACAATTATGTATGATCATTATTTATAAAATTTTCAACATAATTATTTTTAAAATTTTGTTACAATACCTTCATAACTTGCAAGCTATATTTTATTCAAATCATGTAAACATTGATGTTTTTTTGGTGAAATTTTCAGAGAAAATGTCAAACAACTTTTTGAATGTTTCTGTGAAGTAGCTGCACCAATAAGGGAGAAGCCAGCTTGGATTCTCCAAAAATATCCCAATTCCTTTTCAGATGAAGAAATATTGAAATCTGTTCCTAAATTTGCATATCCTTGTGAATTTGAGAAGTATGTTAACATTGATTATCATGCAACTATAATCTTTTGTCTTTGTCCTATTATATTTCTTTGTTATAATTTTTTGTTTTAGTTTATTAGTACAACATTTTTCATTTGTGCTCACTAGCATAGATTCAAAATGGACTTTTGGATTCTGCCGTCATGATCCCAAAACAGAAACGGCTTTAGTAGTCTTAAGCACCCTCCCATGGCACGAAACGTTTTACAAGTTAGTCAAAATATATTACTTAAATGCTCACGTGTGTTCAAAATAGATCAAAATATTAAATTTTTCATTGTAGACTTTTGAATCATATTGCATCTTTAACCAGCAATGCTAGTGGAGAAGATCCCTGGAAATTTCTTGAAATTATATATACTTGTGGGGTTCCAGTACCTGGAAACTCCATATCTATCCCTTTACCAAATTCTACAGCGGTAAGTAATTATTAAACTCCATCATGTCATAATTTACTAAACTGTTAAGTGTGTTTAATAAGAAATTTATATATATAATGTTATCTATCTGCTGAATACACTATTTTAATACTTTTTTAAAATTTCTTTCAGAATTTTATTTGTCAAAGCCCAAAACAGTTTCAATTACCTAGTATTCCTGAAAATGTAAGTAATAATAATTAACAGTTTAGATGCGGAATATGTTTTATTTGATAGTCCAATCACATACACACACGCGTGAATACTCACTCACTTGCCTACTTGCTCACTGACTCACTATTTACTCGCTCACTCATTCATTCGCTCGCTTACATCACTTACATGCACATTCGCACCACTAAACTATATATACATTGGAATGGGCATCTCCTCTGTAAAGCATAGAAAATCGTGGTCGCAATTGATCAGCCGCCATTTTGGTTTGGTGCGATATTTGAGCAAATCAGAAGCTTTCAGGTGCTCATGCGCACTTACGCATATAGTATATGAGACGGTGATCGAACGTGTTATTGTGTCATTTTTGGAAAGTGTGACCGGCTTCAAACGCGCAATTGAGTTTATGTTACTTTTTTAGACTCGTATTCTGCATATTCTCACGTGAAGAAGAAGTAAGACGAATATGTCAACAAGATTATTGTGTGTGAGGTTATATTTGAAGGATTATAAAATCGCATGACTGTCTACAAAACATCAACATGAAGTGCTGTGTGCCTGGGTGTGGACAGAGAAGTAAAAAGAGCCTTTCATTTCATAGGTAACAATAATTGAAGTGACATTATTTTTGTTTATATACCATTCATGTCCATATAGATTTTCATACATCGATAGTACATCGATCGATACATCGATCGCAACGCACACGCGAACGCTTCTAATTCGTTCAAATATCGCACCAAATCAAAATGGCGGCTGATCAATTGCGGCCACGATTTTCCTCGATGCCCATTCCAGTGTATATATAGTTCAGTGATGCGCATGCGTACGCGCGCGCGCGCGCGCGCGCAAAAATAGCATTATATAATATTATTAATTATATATTATATTTAATATTAATTATATAATATTATTTAACATAATATATTTTATATAATATATTTTATATAATATATTTTATATAATTTTATTTACCGGAGTAATAGTCCTTTAATTATCTTTGTAAGGGTATTATAATAAAATTATCAAAAGATCAATAGTTTATAACATATTAGTTTATTATAGTGCAGTTACAATATATGATTACACTTTTTTTAAAGGTAATTATACCCCAAAATGCATTATTCAAGAATGTCTTGAAATTTTCATCTCAAGTAATTTAGGTATTAATATACAGGGTGTCCCATTTTAATCTATCACCTCAAATATCTCTTGAACAGTGCATTTTAAGGAAAAATGTTTCAGACAAAAGTTTTAGGACTTTGAGGGGGACATAAAATGGTGCCA